AGCTGTTGGGTAATAGCTGCATCCCGACACCTTAAAAGTGCAGTTGTACTATGAATCAAAAGAAATATTTGTCGTAGTACCAAAAGTTTACCTGTTATCAACGCCACATTTTAAGATACGCGCTGAAGTAAGCTTCTTCTTTGTTGTCATTTCCTTGAGTGACCTGCGTGAGTTTGCATGCTTTCAAACGCTGCGAGTTCAATATGATTAACCAAATGATGACCGAAGAAAACAGCGTGTGAAAGGGTACTATCTAAAACAGTTCTATTCAATATCAAAATGGTTTGCACATATTTCTATTTCAACTCACATAGGCGAGAGTGAACAAAATTCGGAAAGTGACATAAGTGAAATAATCTGGCAAAAGAGAAAGTACAGCAGATGATATAGTGAAAAAAGCATAAGATATATTTTGGAATACTGTAAGCGGTAAAAGAAGCCTGATAACAGAATAATTCTCGTTTAGTTGATATGAGGATCTCAAATCAAAACGCTTCCTAAAATGCTTTTGTTAACCTCCTTAAACGATAATTCTGACATACCTATTCACGGCGAAACGATTGCTGATGAGCAATATTGCGACTCCAGCTGCTGTGGCTAAATTCACGCCACAAAGAGCTATACTCACGACCGATATTCTCATCAAAGTAAGCGGTGTGGTTGAAGCACAATAAGGTTTTGCTGAGAACTCTTGTCTTCGGAATGTCCAGGCAGTACTAGCGAAGGCAATAAAGATCTATCAAAATTGAAAACTTTAAGTTGAGTCAAGTGGATTTGATCGACTTACCGAGATGATTGTGAGGCTTATGCCCAACTTATTACCAAACATTTCATAATCCTTCCGCTTATACAAGGCTACGTAACGTTCGACAACCATTGCAGACTGTAAGAATTCAGTTCGTGCAAAAATTTACAACTATAAAAGGCTCCAAACCTGCAGACTTGCGAAACAGATCATGCAGAAAATCATAGAAAAGCGTATTACGAAGCAGACGTCTGCCGAAATA